AATGGGGTATGTGACAAAATCATAACCGTTGGATTTGGAGGTTTTGGTTACTTTTTAAGTTATAATTTTTTTAAGGCTATTTTAGCCAATTTCCCACTAGCACATAGGATATCATTTAAATTTGCTAAAATAAAACAAACCAATAAAGAAATGAATTGAATAAATTCCCTAAAAAGATGTACGAATTATTGATAAGTTAAATCTGGATTTATGTAAACGTAATTTGTTGGGCATTTTGCTCTTTTACCTAACTTGCCGACAAACACCAACATTATTCTTTTGTAATAGCCAATGACATATATAACACCAACATTATGTTTTTATATGTACTACCTGTCTTTTTCAATGAGACACACGCATACATATGTATTCATGGGTGATGCATCTCCAACTTTGATTGGTGAAGTAAAAAAATAATATAGTACGAATAACATTATTGTCAGAACTATTGTCATAAAATACGAGTTATATAAACTTAATAAGATCGAGAAGATTCAATTAGAAATAAGCTTAACAAAGTTGTATGATAATCTTATTTTTAAAAGCTAAAACAATTCACATATACTAAGAGTTTTGATTGACAAAGATTTAGAAAAGCATTATATATTTTGTATCTAATCATTTTTTGTTAATCAAGCATAGAAGAGAACATTGAGAAGTTACAAAAGTAACCAACAGTATCGTCCTGCTTTTTTTTTTTGGAGTGGAATTTAATTGGACTTCTAAGTATAAAGCTTTCTCAGGTCTGGTTACATTTGTTTTTTTCTTTTCTCAGGCCCATTAGGTACTTCCATTAGAATTTTGAAATAAACTAAACCGACCCGATTGAATTAATCGCAAAAAACATATTCGAAAAATGAATTGAGCTTTTGATACAGATCAAATGGTTATATTTTCTTACAACTCAAAAATTGAGTTCCTACTCTGTAAAACAGTAATGTAATTAACTTAAGAGCTGAATCTAAATCCGGATTGATCACTATGAATGGTCAGAAACATAAATAGATAATGAAACACGATTAAAAAAAGAAAGATAATGAAGCAAAAATTTATTTATATTGATGAATTCGAGAAACGCAAACAAAGAAACTAGAACATTGCCAAATTATTAGGCAAAAATTCTCAATATATTATTATTAACGAAACATAAGTCTCGTTTATTGTTTCAAAGTTTCACAAAACTCAAGTTTCCATCCCAAAAGCCCGCCTTTAAACATGTACATAACGCAATAAAGAGAGAACATTGTGTTTGTGAAATATTGTCTCAATGTTACTCAAAACATGTAATGGAAAGTAAGGGACAAGGAAAGGATGGTGAGCTCGTGATCTCTGTATCGTTCCGGCTTTAGATATGACCGGCCCAATTTTGGGAACTCTCGACTCTCGGCATTTTGGTACCTTCTCTCTTGGCTTCAGCATCGACCTTGAAGGTCGCACCACACACTTCTCCTGAGCTATCCACCCTCGGCACTGGCTTCAGCTCGTTCTTTGGGTGCTCGAAGCTCCTCAATCCTCCCGATGATGTAAAGAAGCAACCTTCAAACACCAAACCATGTAAACAACTTAACCATTGAAATCCGAATCATTCAAGATCGCTTACAGAGATTGTTTCCAAGCAATTTTAGTGCACCACACAAACCAACCAAAGTTAATACCGATCTTCTAGCGGGTAATTCGATTAACCCACTTAACCATTAAATCAAACAATCACACAAACCAACCAAAATCTTTGACTTGATTTCAAAGGTTTCCTTTTTTTTATTGTCTGTGTTTACAAGATATCAAGTGAGCTTACAAGATATCAAGAGCTTATACCGATTTTTTTTAACGGGTAATTGAATTAGTCTTAAAGAGTCATAACATGTGGAGTAAAGTTGGTACCTTTAGGGAAAGGACCATAAGACTTGGCGCAACCTTTCTTCACAACATCGGTGTCATTAGAAAGAACAAGGTGTCCTTCAGCATCGGTTCCCCAGAAGAACGGCACACTTCCATCAACGTCCTGCAAATCGTAACAACAAGCAATGCAAACGACAACATTTGTGTAAACAATCCAGAACATGGAGATCAAGAAACAACATAAATGGGAAATGGACCCAGAAAAGGTTTTGGAGTAATTACAGCAGCAGCGAAGACGGTTTTATTGACGCCATCGAAGAGGATAAACGCATACTTCCCTTGGAAATCTCGCACGACCTTGTCCACGGGATAAGGACCTCGATCACGCAGTGTCCTGTAAGCCTCAATCACAATGATAGCCTCGTTTGTAATCTTGTTTAATCCATATTGCTGCTTCAGAAATGGAAGATTCTCAATGTGTCCTTGGAATAGACAGAAGATATCATCCACCACCGCAAATAATCTGTTCAATTCAATGAAAAACCCCCAAAAATTCAAGAACCTAAAATTACATTACCAAATATACAAATTCAAGAACCTAAGATTACAAAATCTAGATCTACCAATAGCTCAAGAGTGATTCATTACCATCAAGCTAGATCCAAAAAGAAAAAAAGTCAATCCAAGTAAATCTACAGAGAAATAGCAAATGAAGCAAACAAACACAAATCAGATCGATTAGAACAAACAAATCAATCCACAAATCCCAGTATAACTACTTTCAAAATCAAATAACATTTATCACGAGATCAAGCACGAAATACAAGAGACAAACGAAGGGGAAAGACTTGTTGTATAGACCTGGGAACAAGTGGATCGTTGTTATCAAGAGAGTAAGCTAACAATCCCGATGATCCGAGATTAAGCGTGACGGAGTTTGGGTTTTTCGAACCGAAATGGCTCGCCAGATAACCTTCTTTCAAAGCGTAAGTAGGCACAGATGAGTGCGGGCTCTGTAATGCCTCAGGGCTATTCGCCACCGTCTTCTCAAACACAGCAAGCATTCTTTTTCCTTTCTTTTTTTTNTCGGGAAAGTGATTACGAAAGAAAATGAGAGAAAATTACAGACTTGTGAGAAAATT